CACTTACTTTAACCTAGAAAAACCCTGAGGAGGAGGTAAGATATTTAAAGCATTACTTGAATGAAAGAAAGGCAAACAAGATGAATAACTGAGAGCATGTTTCAGGGCTATAGCACAACTTGTGGCAATATCCAGTTGAGGAGGAGTGTTACTCATTGAGCGTGCTTACAGTAAGAACTTTCTCTGAGGTAGTCAAAAGGGATCCATTCTGCCTCTTTATACATAGAACTTAGGATACAGTGGGAAGACTTAACAATATGAATGGAAAGAAGGTTGTTCAACTTCACGTAGATGGAGAAAAGGAATAGCTAAGGACTTGGAACCAAGAAAGATGGGCTCTGAGGCAGAACCACCATGTTACATGAATCCATTACCTTCAAGTTGTGCCCCCTAAAGTTGTACAACTTCATAATCAAACTTGATCCATTATAGAGAAGGGAATCTGGTGACCGTAAGGCAGAAAATGATGTGGACAGATAGATGTTTGGCAGTGGCAGTGAAGAGTGAGTGGGAAAGGAGGGAGTAAAGGGAAGGACGGACACACATGGAAGTAGAAGTGTGAGTGAGGAGGCACAAGCACGGGTCTGCAGGAACAGTAAAGGGGAACACCCCAAGATGACGACAGACTACGTGTACATGATCAAAGACTGTGATACATTGAAAATGAATGCAGACTTTCTTCTTTGGAAGGTTAGGATAGAATGACGTTGTCTGGAGACAGAATATCCTGTCACTGAGCAGTTTTGTCTTTTCCGTGTTTAGTTTAAACTGAGGTAGGATAGGATTAGCATTAGGTGAATGACAAAGCAAAAGTAGAAGCTTAGACCTTACGGCCTTTAAAGGCTCTGGCAAGTTTAGGAGGAAGTGGTTCTGTGGTAAATTTCCTAGAGAAGTGCAGGAAGGACAAGTCACCTGCATGTGTTACAAAGGCATGCTACTCCTCACCCAGGGAACCTGCCCTTTTGCTTCTGTTTGGTTTCCCTGCCCCTCTTTTTATTATTGGTGAGATGCATCAAGACTGAGCATCATTTCCCACACACCTCTGTCCCTTTTTTTTGAGATAGTCTCACTATGCCGCTCTGGGTAGAGTGCTGTGGCATCACAGCTCACAGCAGCCTCCAGCTCTTGGACTCAAATGATTCTCTTGCCTTAGCCTCCCAAGTAGCTGAGACTAAAGGCGCCCACTACAACGCCAGCTATTTTTTTTATTGCAGTTGTCTTGTTTGGCAGGCCCCAGCTGGGCTCAAACATGCCAACCTCCGTGTATGTGGCCAGCACCCTACTCACTGAGCTACAGGCACCGAGCTCCCCCCTCCCCCCCTTATTAATACTTTCTTTGTTCCCTTGATGTTTTGCATTCCATGTATTCGCCTGTAAGCTGGTGAATGGATCACCTCCAGCCACTGTTCATATACAAATGTGTTTCCCCTGTTGTGTGGGCCATCAGTTCCCACCCTGTGCCCCATGGGCTTCCTACTCACTGACCACTGTCGTTCCTCCAGTCCTCTTAGCTTGCCCCTGTCATGCTGTTCACAACATAGCCAAACATTTGTTGTTGGTCTTTTTGTTTGTTTTGTTTTTTGAGACGGAGTCTCACTTTGACATGCTCGGCAGAATGCCATGGCGTCACAGCTCACAATGACCTCAAACTCTTAGGCTTAAGTGATCCTTCTGCCTCAGCCTCCCCAGTACCTGGGACTATAGGTGCCTACCATAATGCCCGGCTATTTTTTAGAGACGGAGTCTCACTCTTGCTGAGGCTCGTCTTGAACTCCTGAGCTCAGCCTCCCAGAGTGCTAAGATTATAGGCGAGAGGCATCATGTCTGGCCAAACATTTGTTCCAATGATAATAGGAGAGCCCATCCTTTAAAAAAGGGGTGTGATTTGATGGCAACGTGGGCTTTAGTGCATCTCTTCATGGCCAAACATGCTTCTGTCATCCCTTTGCAGCTCTGAGTGAGCTCTAAGCTTTGCAAAGCCTAACTGACCCCAACTAGGTAATACAGGTCATTAGGCTGATTTGAAATGACATGCATTTTTATACATTTTACCAGTTTGGTTCTGTTTCAGTAAACTTACTTAAAAATTAAAAAGATCCTGTTGTAGTGAGCATCCTATATTGCAAAGTCAGGAATTAGGTCTTGACTACATCTCTACCAAGTGCACTCTGTATTATACCCTGTGGAGCTAAGTGAATGCTCAGTAGCAGTGGTGATAATTCATGTATTTCGTTCCCCCTACTTCTATTACTCCTTTTCTCTGTTTGTTGTAAGATAGGCATGCTGTTTCTCCTCTTGTGTTTATGCGATACCATATATACAGTAGGAGCTCATGAAATATTGAGTTGATGTGTCCAGGGGCTGTCAAGCTATGTTTATCTGCTTTTTTTTTTTTTTTTTACATATATTGACAGTTTACTACCAATTCTATTAAAACGATATGCATATCTACACACAACAAAGTTTTTACATTCTTTAGATAACATGAAGTTTAGAACATTATATTTTATTCATTCAGCCAGTATTTATTGCATATCTACTCTTGTTAAATGCTAGGGATCACAGAAAGAGTAAGGCATGGCTTCTGTTTACCAGGAATGCATAGTCAAGTAGTGTAGGGAATAAACTCACCTGTATATAAATGATCTCACTGTTGGAGAGTGGATGAATGAGTTGAGAGGTATGTCGAGCTCTATGGCATCACATGAAAGAAACCACTTTGGTTAGGTCAGGACAGACCCTGGGGAAAGCTCTCTGACCTAGCACTGTAAAAATGAGGATGAATTTTCCAGATGAGTGAATGAAAGATTGCAGGGAAGTCCAGTTATCACTGAGAAGTTAACACTTAAGACCTATAGAAGATGAAAGAGAAAGGGAGGAAGAGAGCTGGGTAGATTTGTGATAAGATTGTTCCAGGCAGAGAGCATAGCAGGTGCAGAAGCACTGAGATGGGGACACACAGGCAGATTGGAGGGTGAGGAGATTGGTGGGTGACACAGGGAAGTAGCAGGAGATGACTTAAGAGGTATTGTTCAGCCAGTGTGAGGGCTGTGGCTTTTACTGTGAGTGAAGTAGACAGTTGGTCGCAGGTTTTGAGTAGGAGACCAGTGAAACCAGGCTTAGGGTTTAAGAAGCCACTCCTGTCTTGATGTGGAGGAGAGACTATAGGGGGTGTGCTGGAGGCAGAGGGTCCACACAGGAGGTCACTGTAGCTATGCAGTCAGAAGGCCATGGTGGAGAGAAGAAAGTCCTAGATGACACCATGGATTTCAGTCTACACAACTAGAAGAAAGTAAATGCTTAGAGATGGAAGTCTGCAGTGGGAATTGGTAGAGAGAAGAGCTGGGTTTGGATGTTTAAATTTGAGAAGACTATTAGACATCCAAGTAACTGTATTACTAGGCCATAGGATGTATGAGTCGAGAGTTCAAAGTTAAGTACAGGCTGGAGCTAATGACATATAAGTTATGTCATCTAGAGGGTGGATTAGCACCAAGGCAATGAATGAGGCAAGAGCAAAGGTCTGAGGGCAGGCACACAGGGGTCTGGGAATTGAAGGAGAGCTATGGAGATGTCTGGGAAGGAGTGACCAGTGAGGTGGGAGGAACCAGGGAGCCATTAGTCTTGTGAGCCAGGCGAGAAGAGAGCCATCAGCTAGGATTGCTGCATGTAGGGCAGGTAGGACGAGGGCAGAGGTGGACCGCCGTGCTTAGCAGGGAGGGGATCTTTGGCAGCCCCCGGGAACAGTGTCAGTGGAGTAATTGGGATGAAAGCCTTCAGAGAGTGGACTTGAGAGAGGATGCCTGGAAGTGATCCCTCTCAGATAATAACATATGATTTAGAGGAAATAAATGGGATAAAGGAAAGAGCCAGGCAACACAATAGGCAAGTACCAGAAAAATCCAGAAGATTCTTTATTCTATAGGACAAATGACTCCAGTCTCAGCAGGTCATTTTAAAACAACGAAGGGGAAAAAAAGGACTGAAAATATGTAAAAAAAAAAAAAAAAAAAATACTCAGATGCCCTGGATTGCATTCAGCTTAGACAAAGCATCTATCAAAGAAATTTGGGGGTTTATTAAAGAAATTTGAATAAGTGAAATGAAAATTCATTGCAGGCTTGGCGCCTGTGGCTCAAGCAGCTAAGGCGCCAGCCACATACACCTGAGCTGGCGGGTTCGAATCCAGCCTAGGCCCGCCAAACAACAATGACGGCTGTAACCAAAAATAGCTGGGCATTGTGGTAGGCACCTGTAGTCCCAGCTACTTGGGAGGCAGAAGCAGGAGACTTGCTTGAGCCCAGGA